CGTCCACGGCCTCATCGTACTTTTCCTCGTACATCTCAGGAGCCATGAACTCAGGGGTCCCTGTAGGAGCCACAGCAGGCAGGCATCAAGCTACAGAAGCTTCCTCGGGCTTCGTCCCTCTTCCTGGGCACTTCTCTTCCTGGGCTGGCTAGTCAGCCCAGGGGGTGGGGGGCAGGGGCAACCCTGAGCATTCTGGAGTGCTAGCGACAGACCCTTCCCCACTGCTTGTGTTGGGGGGGGGAGCGGGCAGTAAGGGGGAGAGAGGATGCTATAGGCCTCCCCAAGTCCCCTGCTCTTCTAACTCCGTGCAACTCAAAGGACCCCTGCTGGGAAGGGGGGTTGCCAGGCTCTCTTCTGACGCGGGGGAGGTGTGAATAGCAAGGACCTCCTGGAGAGACGCACCGATCACGCTCTTGGCAAAGGAGGCGCGCTTGAGCGTGGCCAGGCCCAGGTCCCCAATCTTGACCGAACCCGAAGGGCCCGTAATAAAGACGTTGTCGCACTTGAGATCCCTGTGCAGAATGGGGGGTACCCGGGAGTGTAGGAAATGAAGACCCCGGAGAATCTGGCGGCTCCAGCGCTGAAGGACTCGTGGCTTCATCTCGCGGAACCGCCTCAGGTATCTGGAGGAAAGGCACATAGCCAGGGTTGCGGCGGGGACACGGAGGCGGGGGGGAGGGGACCCTTGCTGGGAAGTTCCCCTAGTCCCCCTGGCACCGCCTCCTACGCATCTTCTGCCAGCATTCTTCTAGCTGGCTTGCCTGTCGGGCTCCAGGGAGAAACTGAGTCGGGGGTGTGCTAGGTAGAAGTGAGATTAGGAAACGGGTTGGGCAGGAAACTTGCAGATAGTGCCTGGGGGCTGTGGGAGCACGGAAAGGGATGATTAATTGCTCTGGGCGTGGGGGGAGGGCTTCAGAGAGGAAATAACTTTTATATAACTTTTATGTTGCATCTTGAAGGATGAGTAGGGGTTCAAGGGTGAAAAGGGGAAGGGATGGAGACTTTCCAGGCGGCAGGGACACTGTGCTCAAAGGCACGGAGACAGCAGCACGGCAGGGTGGGAGGAGGTACAGGGAATTCCGCCCCGTGAGGAGTCTAAGTTCAAGATGAGGCTAAATCCTAAGAAGAGTGGACTTTAACCTGAGGGAGGTGGGAAACCTTGAAGGGGTTTTAAGGAACAGAGAGATTCCCCCGACTGCAGGAAGATAGGATAGGTTGGAAAGGTGAGGGCAGAGTGGGAAAAGGCCCATTAGGGGGCTGCTGCAGGGTTTTAGACCAATGAGATGGCAGTGGATGGAACAGGGAAAGCAGAGTGGGGAATTATAAGGAAACCTTGGAGAGAAATTGATAGGGATAGGTGGATGCACAGAGTGGAGATAAAAAAGGCATCTGGGGAGATGCCTGAGTTTTGGCTGGGTGGACACTGTCACTCATGAAGGCAGAGACGCAGTAGGAGTGGATGAGAAGTAGCAAGCCTGGTTTGGGACCTAAATCTAGAGTTTGAGGAGCCTGGGAGAAGTTCCAGAAACAGTGGGGACCTCCCACTACCAGCTCTCCCACCAACCAACACTACCACCAGGCACAGAGCTCACGTCTTGAGGGTGCCGGAGGTCATGAGTTCGGTGACCAGCACAATGCAAACCTGGCCCCTCAGCACTGACTTCCACGAGTCGTAGAAGCGGACGATGTTGGGGTGCTGCAGCCCCTTGAGCATCTCCACTTCCTCAGAGAATCGCTGCCGCTCGGTTCGAGACAGTTTCCGAGTCTATAGGGTAGGGGATGGGGGTCAAGGTCATGTCGGGTCCAGGACCCCATAGAGAGGAGGAAGGGGCACATGGAGGGAGCAGCTGGGTGAGAGGTAAGGGTTGGAGCCCACAGACCAGGTTAGGTCATCACTTGCCCAAGGGGCTGTATGCCCCTAATTCCTGATCCGCCCCCTCAGGCTGCTGCAGAGACACGCCCATCCAGGGCCTGGGGCCACCCCTGGACCCCCTGCTGGACACAAGGGCCTTTATGCAGCCCGGTCCAGGAGCCCTGAGCTCAATAGCGCCTTTGTAGCCTCCTGGGCCAGCCGTGGGGTGGGAGGGGACGCCCCAGGGCTGGCAATGGGCAGGCAGCAGGCAGGCAGCAGGCTGACAGCAGGCAGAGAATTGGGGCCTTCAAGGGGGTTGGCCCCAGAAACTGAGAACTGCTAGATCCAGACAGGAGGCAGGAGGGCTGCAAAGGGAGTTACAGAGAAAGAGAAGGATCCAGGACCAGGCACCAGGAGACTGCCCCCTGCCCCTTGGCTGTCCTGCCCCCCCCACATCCCCCCAACCCCCTTCATTTGGCTGCCTCTCCTTGCCTGGCCTAGAGCCTGGGGCGCGGCACTGGCAGGCGCAAGGGGAGAGCCCAGTGCCAGAGCTGGAGGGGAGGACCCTTATCCAGGCTCTGCCCCCCAGTTTGAATCCAAAGCTGCTGGCCCAGACTTAACTGGGTTCTTCCCTCCGTGGGAGGAAGGTCCTTCCCACCAACATCCTCCTAAATCCCACTGGGTTCAGTGCTTTTGGGTCTGGGAAGGGAGAGCCCAGGTACACAGTGAGATGAGGAGCAGGACTGGACTCAGACCGGGGCTGGAGCTCTCTATCTCGCCCGCCTCCAGTTGTGTGGAAGTCTATAAGTCTGATGCTCCAGAAGGGGCTTGGGTGGGCCCCATCCTGCCACCACCACTCTAAATCTGCTGGAAATGGAGAGGATCCTGCCGCAACTCCTGGCCTCCATCATCCCAGCCTCTTACTCTTCAGAGATCTGGGGTGAAGGAGGAGGACGACCAGGGACACACCGAGGGTCTCAGGACTAAGAGGAAAGGGAAAGGAAGAGACAATAGGAGGAGATTGGTGAGGCCAGTCACACCTTAGATCTGAACTGGCTCCCTATCTGGTTTTGCATTCTATCTTCCACCTCTCAGGGTTGGGTATAGAGACTTTAAAGTTAGAATGTCCAAAACCTATAGGGGAGCCACCCTCTGTCTCAGTTTATCCTTCTGCCCAGAATCAGCCAGATCCACAGATCATCAGAGCAAGGGGGTGCAGGCAGGAGTGTCCGGACATTTGACTGAAAAGACAGATCTCTCCCTTGCTGCTGTCCCCTAGGTTTCTCATCCCAAAACCTCCAAAGGGTCCCATCCCAAGGTGCCACAGAGGGGGCACCCAGCCACACCTGCAGCTCACACCAGGCCACCTCCACCGTGGTGTCAGTGTCCAGCCCTCGATACACCGTCTTGAACGAGCCACGTCCAATCTCGATGTCAAACTTGAGGTATCGGCCATCCGGGGACGTTGCCACTGCCTGGGTCTCCGTGTCCTCCTTTTCCTCCTGCTCCCGCTGCCGCTCCCGAGCCGCAGCTTCGGGGACAGTCGGCGGATCCCGGCCCCCGGGGCCCCCTGTGGAGCCCGGGAGCTCTGGACGCGTGGAGTCTGCAGCCTTCACCGGGGCTCCCCCAGTCCACGTGCCCTCGGGGGGCTCTGGACAGCTAGGCGGTGGGCTCCTCGCGGGGCCGGCACCAGCGGAGTCCGGAGGATCAGGGGGCTCCGGAACGGGTGAAGCTGGCTGGGACCACAAGCTCAGCAGTCCCAAATCGACCGAGCTTCGGCGGCTGAGACGGGAAGAGCGCGGCCGGGGCTCAGCCTTCCCGGAGAAGCGGCGCGCCCGGCGAGGAGGGGGCCCGAGGCGGGGCGGACCGGCGGCGGCGGCGAGAGGCGGCGGGGGCCGCAGGCCCAGGTCGGCCTCCGCCTGGGACATGGGGACTGCAGTCTCGGAGGTCGGGGGTGCCAGCATGAGGAAGGGCCGGCGCCGCAAGGCAGTAAGCCGGGCGGCTGGAGAGGAGGCGGCCTGACAGGCAAGGATTGGCTGGGTGCGCAGCGCTCCGGCTGAGCTCCTGGGGCCCCAGTCCCCGGCTCGCCTAACCCCGGCCCCGCCCCCAGCCCCGCCCCCGGCCTCACCCCCCAGAGCCGCCCCCTCGGAGCGGCCAGCGGCGGAGCGGGCCAGCGGCGCGGAGCGGGTGCGCAGCCCCTCACTTCAGCAGCCCCGCCCCCGGCCGCAGGCCCTCCTCTCCCTCGCCTCCCGGCGCACCCGCGCACCCGCCGGCGGTATCATTCAGAGGTGGACCGGTGGGAGGCGGCACCCGCCTGCGGGATCATTCCGAGGTGGACCGGGTGCTAGACGGCAGCGTGCCCTCCCGCAACAAGACTGCGCAAACCTGTTTGGGGGCGGGTGGTGGAGGCTCAGTGCTGGGACTGGGAGAGGAAAAGTGACCAATGCTCTCGGGCTCTAGAAAGGGGGGTGGTTAAGGGAAGGTTACCACCCGCCTGCACGCCCCAGATAAGGTAGCCCCAGACCGACAATACAGAGGTCAGTGGAAAGGTCTGTTTTTCTCCCAAGCAGCTGTCCCTCTGAACTGCACAGGGATGGGTGTGTGCACCCCAGGGCAAGCCCCTCCCCCAAGCCAAGGACCCGGGCACCCATCCCCTCCACCTCTCTACCTTGGCCGCAGCCTGGCCCTGGCCACAGTAACTGTTTTTGCTATGTGGGCTCTCCTTCCTCCTCCTTCTGTTTGCCAAAGTTCCCAATAAACCAAAGTCCATATCCGGTTTACACCCCTTCAGCTCCCCTTGGCCTCAACTACCCCACCCAGACCAGAGGGATGGAGGGAGGGGCTTCAGAGTGGTTCAGGACTTTCATGGGGGAGACCGTGAGGAAATGAGAAGCCATTAAGTCACTCTAATTCAGAGAAAGAAAGCAGTCTGTCCCCAAGCTGTGTTCCATCAGCACTCCCCCACACAGCCCACCCAGCAGATGTAAAACCACAGGCTCACTGGAGCCTGCCAGCACTGGAGGACCTTTTCATCTACAAAGGCCGTAGGCCTCTCCTCTTTCCTAGGCTGGGATTCATTTAAGGGGCAATGCTTCACAGCCCTCCTCATGACCATTCCAGTAGTAACTTCCAACGTCAGGCAGACAAGTGGGGTTGAGCTTTTTAATATCATAAATCAGTGTCCAGCCCAGCCTCTCACTGCCAGGCCCTTTCCTGGGCCTCCTATTTTCATATTGCCTGGAAGGCTGCCTGCAGCCAGGGCTTCTCTCACCCCCTAGGAAGGATCCAGCACCAGCCTGAGAGGTGAGGCAATAGCAGCTAAAGGGGTGGGAAGGGGGAGAGACAAAAGCTTGTGCAGGCGCGTGTATGTACTTACGTGTGTGAACACATGTGAAGTTAAAGGTTTACAGACCCTGGCTCGGGGACAGTCTAGGATGGTAGAGGAGGCAGGGCAAGGAGAAGCACATCTTTTCTCCCTGGTACCTCAGCCTCACCTTTCCCCAAGGACAGACATACAGGGTAGTGGGAAACCCATCCCTGGACTGGAGCCCTTTTGAGTCTGGTGGAGTCACAGATCCAGTCTGTAGGGTCACTGGGTCTGTCTCCTTTTGAAAGCCCTGGAAAGGTGGGAGGTAAGAAGTAAGAGACAGGTCTCTGCTAGAAGAACTTGACGCCTCGGCCATCGCTGACAGTGATGATCTCAGCCTTGTGCTCCTGCTGTAGGGCCTGCAGAGCCCGAAGTAGGGTTGCTTCATCCAGCCCATGGAACTCTGGATAGGGAGAGACAGGTAGTCAGGGACACTCAGCTCCTGGGGACTCAAGGCCCCTGAGAACAGTCCAGATGGAAGCTGAAACCTTGAGGCCAGGGTAGACACACGCCATCTATGCTGGGCAGCTGCCACCAACCCCTCCTGGGTAATCCTTAGGAGTAAGGGGTGAAAGAAAGCCTGAGTCAGCATGAAATGAGAGTTCATGCTTATTTTCCCCTTCCGGGTTCTTTGGTCAGACTCAACCCTCATGTGTACCCCCCACCCCCACACCATTAGTGTCTGATGTACAACAGTGACACCACCCACGTGTGGGCCACAAAGTAGGGGGACTTCCTGGTAAGGCCTAGGAAGGTCAAGGTCCTTGTCACTGGATGACCCTCATTGCACACCTATACCCATCAAGAGCGCCTATTGTAACATAAAGTATAGCCACCTCTGACCAGAAGACTGTTAGGGTCCAGCACAGATATCTGCCCTTTCCTAGTGAAAAGGAACAAGGCTGGGAGCCAAGGGCCAGCTGAGTATCTGGAGATATGGCAAGATACTGCAGGGAGAGGTGAGAAGCAGGTGGCAAGCCCTAACAGGCTTGTACACCTCACCCCCTACGGGGGCCTGCCTCTTTAGTCAGGGAGCTTGCTTTCTGAAGAAGCCTCCAGCTTTGCCCAGCGTGAGTGGTGGGCTGGGCAAGGCTGCAGTGCTGAAGTCATAGGGTGATGGTGGGAGTAGCAAGCAGCGGCCTGCAGGGTGGGGGGTGGGGGTGGGGGAACAGCCAAGAGCTGTAAACTCTGTTAGGGCAGCCAGGGCCTGGCAGAAAGGGGAGGTGCCTTTTGTTCCCCAGCTGAGATTGGAACTTTTGGTGATCCTGCGGATCAGAATATGAAGTCAGAGATAAAAAAGCTAAGATTATATTTACACTATGTAAAAATCAAACAGTATAAAAATCCTGGCCTGGCCAGAAACCAAAGTATTTAAAAGGCCTGGGGGTGGGGATGGGGGTGTTGGCCCAATCCTTTCAGCTGACGCCCACAAATCCTGAGCCCTCTATAAGTATACAGGGTGAAAGAAAGCCTGTGTCAGCAAGGAATGAGATTTTAGGCTTAATCTCCTTCCCTGGTTCCTCATTCAATATCTACACCATAATTCTTGATTTTTCATGGGTCACAGATGCTCTTAAAAATCTTTTAATATGGACTCTATCCCTAGGAAAATGTACATATATCCCCACAGACAAAATATGGGGGTATTGTTGCATGTAAATACAGGTGGTTTACAGAAACTTTGCATATGGGTTAAGAGCCCTTGTGTCATGTAGTATTTGGAATTCAGAGGCAGAGATGGGAAGTCTGAATGCCAATTAAACAAGGACTGGAGAGGATTCAGATGACAAAACTGGGGGGAAAGGGAAAAGCATTACCCTCATCCTCTGTGTCTTCGCCATTGGTCAGTTCATACAGGGTGAACACAGAGTTGTTCTGGCCACTCCTAGAAACCTATGGACACAGAAATCAGGGATTGAGTAAGGACCAGGTATCTCCTGGGAGAAGTTGAGCTCACCAGTTCCAACTACCTGACCCAGGAATGGTACCTATTCCCAAACCAGGGCTCACTGTCACCTCAGCAGGAGTGGCCTAAAAACCACAAGCCATACAGGTACTATATTTATATGTGTACACACACATACGGAACCACTAAACCACAGGCCTTCACATGTCTGAGGAGTGACCTCTCATTCTGTTTTCCTGTTCAGGAATAGGTGGCATGTATTTGTTATATTTGGGTTGTTGATGCTTCTTCCCCTCTTCTCTCCCTTGGGAGTTTAGGGCTGGGGGTAGCTAGGAATGTGAGGGAAAGAGTCTGTCCCCACACCCACTCTGGTTCAGAATGTCTCATTCATATTGTGGACAGCCCCAAAGGGTGCAGAGGGGGAGGGCCCCAGCCTTTTTTTTTTTTTTTTTCTTCCTTTCCTCATTTATCTTCTGTGGCCAGAGACTCCAGCCAACAATAGTACTCCTGGTTCCCAGCACTGCAATCTCCAAACACGGCCTCATGTAGCCTCTGGCCTCCCACAGTCAAAGGCAGGGAAATTCTATACAGCCAGGGAAACTGAGTCACTGAGGCTTGCCTGGAAGACCTATACTTCTTCCTTCTGCCCCTTCCCACTTTGCTCTGTCTGGACCTAGGAATGCTGGGTGTCTGCTGAACACAGATATGATTCCCCTTTGCCATGGTCACTGCGGCAGGACAGTCTCACCCACTGATAGATGAGTTTCCCCCATTCTTCTGGCCTTCGCCACATGATCAGGAAGCTAGACTTGTTCTTATCCAACCACTCCAGGTTCCCTGCAAAACAGATACTTATGAAAGCATCTTATGCTAAGAAGGGACAGAAGGCAAAACCAAGGTAGAACAGAGTGGAAGAGACTCAGCTTTCAGGGAATGCAATTCAAGATCTGTTTTATTACTATCTGCAAGGCACCATTTCTCCTTCTACCTCTCTCCAGGTCTCAGAACACAGATGAAGAGATTTCAGTGTTGAATACCAATAAGGGGCAGCCCCAGGTGGCTCAGCAGTTTAGCGCCTGCCTTCGGTGCAGGGTGTGATCCTGGAGACCTGGGATCAAGTCCCATGTCAGGCTCCCTGCATAGAGCCTGCTTCTCCCTCTGCCTGTGTCTGTGCCTCTCTCTCATTCTGTGTCTCTCATGAAAAAATAAATAAAACCTTTAAAAAAAAAAAAACAATAGGGAGAAAGGACCCAGGGAATTGGACTATTTACTGTACAGAACAGTATAGGCTCCAAGTCAGGGGAGAGAAAAAAGGTGTTAAAAGCAAAGACTTATAGAGCACCTGGCTGGCATAGGTGGTGGAGTGGGTAACTCCTGATCTCAAGGTTGTGGGTTCCAGCCCCACAGTGGGTATACAGATTACTTAAAAATGAAACCTTAAACAAAACAAAACAAACAAAAAACCCAAACATTTATGCCAATCTGCCCTCCAGAAAGCCCAAGTAGGAGGAAAAATAAGGAAATCTGAGGACCTGAACCCACCTTTCTTCCTCAGTTCCTCTAATACAACCTGGATTGATTCCACAGGGAGCTTCCCTGGTTTAAAGTTAAGGGAAGGGCATTGATGGAATGATTTGGGTGGGATAAAAATTCTCAGGGTCACTGTCATGTTGAGAACCACCTGTCCCCTTCTTCTCCCTCCCACACATATATGTGCAATTCCCCAACAGTCTATATACATTGGCATTTCATGGATATTGGTGGGGAGAGGAAGGTAAAGAGAAACTAGTCCAATTAAAGGGAAGAGCTTAAGAAATGAATGGTACTACCATCTGTCACCCTCTGCCCTCTCTCCTTCCTTCAGATTTTCTCCACAGATATTTTAGGTATGAATCAGGCAGCAAAAACAAATGACCTTTACTTCCTGGGAGAAAGAGAGTAGGTGGAGAAAATTACTAAAGGGAGTTCCAGAGTTTGAGCTTCACTCAGAAGAGGACCGGAGATACAGAGTCAAAAGGATTTGGGTTGAAAAGCCTGGGATTTGGCGGCTTCCGGACAGAGATTCTAAGACCCGAATGACACCTGGGTCCTCCTCACTGGCTAAGACAAGAGGGTTTGAGGCTGCATTTGCGTTGGGGGTTGGGGATAAAATGGCAGTCAGCTAACACATACTGGCTCTTTCCCAAGGCCAGTTTGGGTGAGAACCTGCCTACGGTGGGTGACGGGGCTGGGGGGTAGGGGTGGGGGTGGGGGTGTGTGAAGTCTGGGCATGTGGGAAAGCGTGGAAGTGCATGTGTGTGGGCTGTGGAAGAGCCTGAGGGAGGATACGCTGTAGCTTCACGTTGTTGAAGAGCGGGCTCTCCTGAGCTTCCATCACCGTCATGCTGGACTGTTTGTGCAGGCGGCAGAAGGACAGGACCAGCGAGCACCAGGCGGCCAGCTGCTTCTGCCGGGTGTCCACGTTCGGCTGCAACCTGCCGGGTGAAGGGGGTGGGGCGCAGAATTAGAGGGCGCGAGAGAGCGAGAGGCAGCGCTTGCCGGAGGCGCGTCTGGGGGACAAAGTGGGGGACCGAGGGTGGTGGCCACCGGGTCCTTTCTCCCCCTCCCCATTTGAGGCATCAGGGCTGAGCCCGGGGTCCGGGGCAGGGGAGGGAGACGCAGCGGGGCTTCTCGGGGTCTGAGCCTCACGTAAAGAAGGGCGGGAAGCGATACTGCCACGGCCACTCGAAACTCATCGCCATTGCAGTAGCCCAGGAAACTCGGAACCTCCGGGCAAAGGACTTCCGGCCTCCGCTTCTGCACGTCCGGGCAAAAAGCACAGCAGAAAGGTTCCGGATGCCTCCTCGGAGAGGGGAGGCCCAACAACGCGAGGGATCTTGCTGGTCTGCCAGTCGTTTGCCATTATCCTAAAAATCCTTACCGTGTAGAACCGCGAAAAGTCTTCTCGTGCAGCTCTCGAGAAGGGCAGTGACTTCCCCAAAGCGGCGCACTTTGGCAGAACTGCTGAGGCTTGTTTCCACTCTGCTCAGCTTCTTTTAATACTAACGTTCGTTGTCAGTTGCATTTAACAAACACCTCATCATTCCCCAGTCTTCTCAATTGCTAGGTCTTTCGACCTCACCATTCCGTGTTCTCCTGCAGTACCCATGGGAGCACGCTTGTAGCTTTTAGCACTGGAAAAACTTCAGCTTCTATGATTCAGAGTTGCTTCCTCTGACTACAGCCATCCATCTCTCACGTCCTCACTTCCCACATCACAAGTCTCCAGACCCATTTTGGTCTTATTTGACTCCTTACCCAGCCTAGACTACCCAGTTCTGTCCCCTTGCTTGTCTACCTTCTGGTCACTTACCAAACCAGGGTAGTTGCTCCCTGCCCCTGCCTCTGTTCTCTCCCCCCCAACTCCTGGGCCCAGTTGTATTACTGGGGAAAAAAAAAATGCATTGATCAAAAAATAATAATAATAATAAATAAAAATAAATAATAAAATGCATGGATCATGCTGGCTGAGCCCCAGATTCCCTAACCTCACTGCTGGACTCTCAGTGCAGCCCAGCACTGTCTTTTATGGACTCCCTGTCATATCCCTCTAGCTAACTCTTCAAGTGTTTCCGTTCATCAAGTCATTCCACCTGTCTCCATCTTCTCTCTGCAGAATGCCCTTTCTATTTTGTGAACTTGAGGCCAAGCATTCGAATGTCTTAACAGTTCCATCTCTGTCACCACACTTGATTCATCCCACAAGAATTCCTCTCCACTTTTACTCCTTTTTGTTTGTTTGTTTGTTTGGACTCAAAGGAAGAAGTGTCACTCCTCCTTTATAAAACCAATCCTTTGGCATATCTTCTTGCCTCTCCTGTCCAACTGCCTCTAGGCCTCCTTTTATATCATCTTCCCTCTTTTCCTTGACTCTGTCACCCTCTGAATTTCCTATCTGACCTTTAACCTTTCCCCCACCCAAGTCTATTCTTCATTGTGCACAGTTCCTGATCTACCGAAGTGCCCAGCAAATATTTATTGCATGAATGAATGAACCATTCAATTGATAATGTGCTTTCAAAGGGCACTATCTCCTTTGCTTCCATGGCATTGCTTTATCCTTGGTCTGCTACTGTCTCTCTGATCTTTCCCTTTGTTTCACTTCTCCCTCATTCTTTAAATGTGCATGTTTCCTAAGGACCTAACCTCAGCTTTATTTTCAATACACCTTCTGCCTTGAGAACTTTCATCCTTCTCATGGCTTCACTTGGCATTTCTGTGCAAAAGACTCCTAAATCTGTATTTCCAGCTCCAACCTTTCCACCACCACCACCACTCCCATTTCTAACTCTCTGTAAAACATAAAAGCTTGTTCTACTAGCAGCTCATATTGTACATGCTTTTCTTCATGTCAGCTCCTCTTTCTAATAGCCATTTTCTATCATTACTTCCATCATTGTCCTAGTAACTCAGATTCAAAGCCTGAGTCAGCCCTAATCTCTCCTCTCCTTCATCTCCTTCATTTCTAAAGTCCTTCTGGTTCCCTCCCCTGTCTTTAAACATCTCTCCTACTTTTTATTTTCTACTTCCTCATTCATCACTCATTTGGCCCATGTCCTCTTTTTCTCAAGCCTAGAATATTACAATAATTTCCCAATTCACTCCCTTTTCTCCTCTCTTCCCTAGGGGTAATGTATTCCATCTTAAGGCCTAGTCATGTACCAACTCCACAATCACCCTCCTGTGATCGCATCTCAGCTAGCCATGACCTCCCCCCCCCCTTTTTTTTGCACTTATACAACATTTGGTTTGTATCTCTTGCATGACTCTCATCATATACTCCATTGCTTTTGTTTGTGTACATGCCAGTTCTCCTACTAGATAGAAGCCATTGAGAGCAGAAACCAAGCCCTTATCTAACTTAACTTTCCAACAAAAGATACCCTACACAGTATCTTATACCAGCATACCATTGGTGTATGTTAGTAAAACACATGAAGGCAAATATGGGCCAAGAAGAGACTATATATCCCTGGGGAAGACCGATGCATTCATGGAAACAGAGCAAAGACTTAGCTCAGGTGAAAACTCAAAATGCCCCAGGGAACAGGAATGCCTCTAGAGAGACAGACATGTCCTGAAAGGGGAAGTCTGTCTCAGAGGATGAATAGATAGATATATTCTAGGAAGCATATAGGTATAGATCTATGGAATGGACAGGCGTGTCCCAGGAAATGGATGTGCATGTCTTCAGAGAGGCAAATATTTCAGCAAAGAGGAAAGTCCCTGAAGAGGCTTCAGGCACCATAAAGAATGAACATATGCCTTTATGGAGAACAAAGTTTTTCTCTCATATTTTTGATGTTCTGGAAGAACTGGAGGTGAAGGTCCTCTGGTGAAAAACTGGGCCTTACTGTCTGGGGAATATGTAAGAGTGTCTGTATAAGAAATGGTGAGTTCAGAGGCTAGGTACATCCCTAGAAAATGGGAATGTGTCTTAAGGGAGTATCACTATGGCTTAGGAAGCTGATAGAATGTTCCAGTTAAGAACTAGTGATTGCTATGGAGGTGGCAGATGTCTGATCCATGGGTCCGTCTCCTCAGCTTTGAGCTTCTTCCAGGTCACGTCCATCTTCTGGCTCTTACCTCTAGTGGACACCAGGGGGCAGTGTGCTGTCAGGCTGTAGGCCACACCCCCAGGGTACAGGACAGCATAGGATGAGGCAGGGACCTGGAAGGGGAGTCCTGTGGTGGACTTAGTAGAGTAAGTCCCTACTGCCCTTGCCCTCAATCCTGAGGTCCTTAGAGATGGACTCTTTTTGGTCATATCAAAGTTCCTATTCCCAGACCCTGGGAGTAAACTGAGGCATGAAGAGGAAAATTCAGGGCTCCTGGGTGGTCCCCCTTCCTTCTTGCAGGAGTCACAGCAAAAATTCCACCCTTGCCCCTCCCCCCACACCTCCCCAGCTGCTGTCCAGACCGGAAGGGAGTCTCTTTCCTGTATACTTCCTGGTGCTGGGTTTGGATAAGGACAGGAAAGGCCCAGCCTTAGGAGGAAACAGTGGAGGGATGGCCTTCAGGTGGGGGGAGGGAGATACTGGGGAGCAGGCAAGTGAACAAAACAGTGCTGCTATCCAGATTCTTCTAGCTCTGCTTCCCAGAGCTGAGGGCCTGTGAGAATGGCAGAGACTCTAGGATGGGGAGGGGATAGTACAAAAAAAACCTTTTATTTAGAAGAGTACAGAACTTGTGCTGTGACACCGCTGGGTTTCCATTTCCACCAGTCCAAGGATCTGTGGTGGGGGTGGGAGTGAGAAAGGGAGGCAGGGAGGGGAAGAGAGACCTGGTGGTAGCAGGGAAAAGGAGTAAAATGGCTTCCAAGAAAAGCTCATAACACCCTAAGCCTGGGCTTCATTGTCTTTACTCCTCCATACCACAAGGGTGACGAGGAAGGGGATGAGGCAGATGGGGGCTATGATCATGGCCAGGAGTACATCCTCTGGGGGGTCTGATAAGGTGGGCTGCACCAGGGAGCAGTTGGCAAAGTGGATCTGGTGAGTCTCAAAGATGACCTCTTCTGCCCAGGGATTGGGGAAGCCCAGGCCAAATGCTTCTGCAAAATGCTCCAAGCAATACTGTAGGTCGCTATAAGGCCTGGGGGCAAGGGAAGACTAGAGTGAGTACAGGTTGGGCCAAGAGAGAAGAATGCCCCACACTTATGCAAGGCCCACCCATAAGGAGCAGGCCCCACCCCTGGCCCAAGCTGCCCTGGTACTGCCCCTACCTGCTAATCATGGCCCAGTCGCACCAATCCTTGGGGATAGAGTCCATCTGCTCCTTATAAGATTGCCAGCAAAATTGGACACTGGTTTCATAGTCAGCCATCTTGTTCCCTGTGGGCACAGATTGCTGCACACTGACCACACCCCTGCCCCTTCCTCCAATCCCTCTGGTCCAGGTATTTCAACTGTTCCTGTCTTCAAACATGGCAAACACCAGGAGAGTCTCAGAAAGTTTTCCAAGGAGTCTCAGCTCAGAAAAATGTTAATGCCTTCCAGGTGCCAGCCCCACTGGAACATCCACATACTTTTTCTGGGGTCTTCTAACCTACCTGTGAGGTAAGCCAGCTCAGAGCTGGGTGGGAGCCACAGGGGATGAGAGGGAGAAAGACCACAAGGAACCCCAAGAGAGAACAGAAGGGAGTTTAACGGACCACCAATTGGGCTCGTGAGAAAAGAGACCCTCCCCACTGACCTGGCTCTCCTCGCAGCCCTAGGCCGGCCACCCTCCCAGAGTTGGGGTGGGGGTGGGTGGGAATACACACCTTCTAACTTCAAGCTGCCTTCAGTGGGAAGAAGCTGAGCCAGGGACTCCTGGGGCTTTAGGACAGCTGTGAACAGAAATGGGAGGGTGAGGAGGGATAGTGGGGATCCAAGCGGTGGAGCCTGGAGGAGGGGTCTGAGACCCTAAGAAGTCAAAACTACTTTCAGAGGAGAAAAAGGAACAATCCAGGCCCCCAAGGGACGCCTCAGCGACTGGAAGCGAGGGAAGCTGATACCAGCTCCCTCCCACTCAATCCAGACCCAAAACCCTCTTCCTCCTCGCCAGCCCCAGACCTCCCAAGACCGCTCCGCGGGGTCCCGGCAGCCCAAGTTCCTCCAAGTGGGAAGCAGCTCGCGCCGAGCCCTCGCCGAAGTGGGGCCGAGGACCGTCCGAGGACAGCGCTGTCCCGCCCGCACGCCGGGGCCCCGTCTCGGCCTCGGCAGTCCAGCCCCCTCCCCTCCGGGCCTCTCGCGCTTCCCCCTCCCCCGGGGCCCGGGGCGCAGCGCTCACCGCCCAGCAGGAGGAGGAGGCGGAGCGCAGCCGGTCGCCCGGCGCGGGGAGCGGGGAGCCGCGGGCCGCCGGCTGCGCGCTCAGCCCGGAGCGAGGCCATCGCGCGGCGCGCAGGCGAGGAGGGGCGGTGGCGCTGAGCCGGGCCCGGGCGGGGGCGCCTATATCCCCGGCCCAAGCCCCAGGAAGCCGCGCCGCTTCCTCGCAGGGGCTGGGACGGCTGCGGCCACGTGGGGGGCGGGGGCGACGCCCGGGGCCGCCGGGCTGGAGGGGGAGTCGCTGCCCCACCCGGCCCTGGCGCCCGCCGCTCGCTCGGCCGGGTCGGCGTTGGCCCACTCTTTCTCCTAGCTCACCCTGCGGGGCTGGACAGCTCCCCTCGTAACCCCAGAACCCGGACGCATTTCCTGGGCTCAGCCGCGTGGCGCCCAGGACTCGCACCGGGGGCCCTGGTCGCCCCGGCTCCTTGGCGGCGGGGGTGAGGAAGGAGGTTAGCGAGCTGCTCTCGCGGACCTGGAGGAGAAAGAAGGGTTGGGGGTTCAGAGGGCCTCTCCACGCCCGCAGTATCTAAGGCAGGGGGTTGGGGCTGTCCTGGGCCGTGGGGGAAGGGGTGTCTGGAGCTGGGCTCAGAATTCCCCTTCCCTGGGAACACCCACTGAAGTCAGCCCGCTGGCCAAAACTGGGGAGGAAATGAGGGAGCCAGCCCTCCAGAGTCTCCAGGACAAGGCCTGGGGTTAGGGACAGGGAGGAAACCAGAGTCCAAATACCCTCCCTTCCAGGCACCTCCTAGGGCCTATATCCACAACCTGATTGGGGGGGGGGGGGGCGGGGGCAAAAGTAAGGTTACTTCATTCCTAGGAAGAAGGTGGCCACTACTCTTCAAGACCAAAGTTAGGAGAAAGGAAGGGTTTAGAACCTACTATGGGTGACTTCATTATTGTGCCAGTTTTACAGGGTAAGAAGCCAAAGCTCAGGAGAAAGAGCCCAGAACTTGAACTCAGCAGCTCTGATTCCCACTTCTGTCTTCCTACTCCACAACCAGGTAGCCTGGAATGACTTTGGTTATCCTGACAATGTTTCCCCCATGTAAGATGGGGACATTATTCTTGATAAACGGTCAATGGTAGTGAGGATGACATATGTGAAAGGGCATTGCACTCACTCAGTGGAGGTTTCCTTCCTTTCTTTCCTAAGGACTTGCCTAAGGTCACACTTCTGGGAAGCAGCAAGGCTGAGCCTGGAGTCCCAGGGGTCCTGACTTCTGTTACACCACAGCTGTCTCTGTGTCCTGAGCCAGAGCGTCACTAGCTTGAAGCAGCCGAGCAGCCCAGGAGCTGATTTGGCCCTGATGCTCAGCTCCAGACACAGCTGTCAGCACTGAACTTTCCTAAATTACTCCCAGACACTGACCCCCTGGACTCAGCTGCTGCTCTTGTCCCACTTCACTGATTTCTGCCCACCACAAATTATGCTTCACATTCTCTCTTCAAATCTTCATCTCAGGGTCTTAGGCTCTCAGATTATGGCCACTGAAAGCCTGTTGTGCTCCTCCATAGCCAGGGTCATGAGGTTGCCTTCATAAGGCATCCGGAAGAAGAAAGGAGGTGGCCCACTTGGCCTGAACCACAAAGCCCTCCTGGTGATAGTCATCTTCTGCAGTGTGCAGAGAAGAGCCTGACAGCCTCAGAGTCACTTCAGGCTGGTGACCAAATCCATTAATTTCCTCCCACCTAAGAGTGCCCTTTTGAAGAAGGAAACATGGTCAGGAGGGAGATTTCTGATTGATGTGATAGGAGGAGCAGGGATGGGGGGACAGAAAACAAACCAGCCATATCCACTGAGCTGGGGCCAGAAACACTTGAGCCCACTGTGAATTAGGACTGGAGTTGGGGTAAAGATTAAAGTTAACAAAAAAGTTGGGTTTTAAATAGGGAAGTATGGTATCATTGATTAAAAAGACAAACAAGCATTGGTTAGGATTTTGAAGGCAGATTGTGCCTCCGTGTTGCTGTGTCACCTTGGGTAGGTCATTTCATATCTCTGGAGCTCAACATTTTATATATAAAATGACCTTAGGGGGCACCTGGGTGGCTCAGTGGTTGAGCGTCTGCCTTCAGCTCAGGGTGTGATCCTGGGGTTCTGGGATCGAGTCCCACATTGGGCTCCCTGCGGGGAGCCGGCTTCTCCCTCTGCCTCTCTCTCTCTCTCTCTCTCTCTCTCCCTCTCTTTCTCTCTCTCTCTCTCTCTGTGTCTCTCATGAATAAATAAATAAAATCTTTTAAAAATAGTAAATAAATAAATAAAATCTTTTTAAAAAAGCATAAATGTGACTTAATATCTCTGTTGTTCAATGACTTTTTTTTTAATGACTTCTTTTTTTACTTAAGAATAGGTCTTGGGCTTCTTTTCACAACAGCATATATAAATGTTCTTATTTCCTTTTAACTGTAGTTACCTGTAGTCTTTTTGTCTTATATCCAGTGGAGTCTGGTCTTTGTTTTCTACCCACCTCCTTAGTTCTCTGTCCCTATCCCACACCCACTCCTAGTGCCTGGGAAGACAGGGATCTGGTTCTGATCCAGATGGACATTGACCTGAGATTTCTGGCCCCAACCTAGATTGACTTCTGGGTGGGGATCCTACTGCCATGTGAATTTCTCTTCTAATACAGGCTGGCTGAAGCAAGAGGAGAGGTGACCCTATCCTTAGGAGTGCTGTTTCTAATCTTCAGCCTTCCCCCTATACACTCATGCACAAATCCAGAACAACATACTGGGCAGTAAAAAGCACTAGGGGCCTCCTACACAATGAAATTGCATGCATAACATCCTGGGATTATCATCTCTATGATGTAGAGACATGCTGGCCTCTTCCCCAGCTGTCTGCAAAATACAGAGCAGAGCACAGGAGAGGATGTGGGGGAGAATCAGGGTCAAGGGAGCCAGAAGTCCTAGCTGGGAAGGGCTGATCCCTCCAAGCTGGAGAGAGGAGACAGATATCTTTAGCGGGCAGGAAGGCAGCAGGGACAAGCAGAAGAGCTGCAGTCAGGGAGCCAGCTAGCTAAGGGAGGGAAGACAAAGGTATAGGGACATAGCTACTCCATCTCTTGCCATCTCCTCATCTCTAGAATGACACACTTGGTGTGAAGAGCATGGCCATCTCTCAGAAAGAAGAATGGTTACTGGGGAAAACTTTGGCTCGCAAGTTGGTAAAAAGCAGAGAAAATGGTTGAGCCATGTTTCTCATCAACTACCAGGGACTTACTAGTAGCTGCCATTCATTGAACAATTATATGTGATGCACAGTGCATTCTCTGATACAAGTGCTGAGTGCTTTGCAAGTATTTTTTAAAATCCTACTACCATAACGTATCAGAATTATCTTGTCCCTGGGAAAAATGGGGAAACAGGAGTAATGTGCTGAAGGCCCCAGAGGCAGTAATTGACAGTCGGAATTTGAACTCAGGACTGCTTGACGCTAAGCTTCAGGTCTTAACCATTATGATTTATCACCTCCCTCCCACTCTATATCCAAATATTAATTTCTTACTGGGTCTTGAAAATGAGGTCGAAAGAGGAGAGAAAGATAGAGAATTTCTTCCAAGACCAGATAGACCCCTCCAGAAATAAGAAGATCCTCTTTCACCCAACTATGTATATACAATCTCCTCCTCCTTTCCTTCTTTGACCCAGGCTAGACTATGACATCACATGGTGGAGGCTGTTTTTCTGAAAAAAAAAAGGGGGGGGGATAAAAAAAACAGACTAGATCCAGATTTATAAGAACGACATTCAGACAGCATGACTGAAGAGGATCATGGCCAAGTGACCATAGCACACGCCCAACAGTGCTAAGAACACTGCCGGTCCCTCGGCACCTGGGGCTGACTCATGGTTGCTGTCAGGACCCAATGCCAAATGCCAGTGTTGCTTTCACTCTCGCTTCATTGCTCAGGACCATCCTGTGAAACCATCCCAGGAACCCTTCTACCCACTTCCAACACCTAAAGAGTTTTGATGTTATATAACATGGGAGTCCCCTGAGGACGCATACTGCTTGGCAGTATGCTCACCTTGTTTCATTTAAAACTCACAACCCTATTAAATTAGGCACCATAGTAACCATTTTACAGATGAGGAAACTGAGGCTCAGAAAGGGTAAGTAATTTGTACAAGCTCATGCAACTCATATTGTCAAATATCCAGATCTTGATCCTGAAGCCTGAGTACTTAACCTCTGCTCCACAATGGAAGTCAGCTTGCTAGCCAACCTGCTAGAGAGAACCAAATAGAAAGGGATGCAGAAGACCAGCTGGAAAGGCAACCAAATAAGATTTGGCACGGAGGTCCTCCTGACATGGAGGGCCTTCTCCTCTCAATATGATCCCTCTCCTGACTATGCCTGCTTTGTTTATAGACGGTATCTTTTCACATCTTTTTCCCCAAGACCTTAATGTATAGGATAGACAATGAAAACCCTCATGATGGGGTGCCTGGTTAGCTCAGTCAGTTAAGTGTCTGCCTTTGCCTCAGGTCATGATCCCAGGTCCCAGCATTGATCTGGTGCAGTTGCACCAGGCTCCCTGCTCAGTGGGGAGTCTGCTTCTCCCTCTTTCTACCCCTCCCCACTGCTCATGCATTCTCTCTCTCTTTCTCACAAATAAATAAATAAATAAGATATTTTTAAAAAACACTTATGATGTTATGAAATAAGACATTTTCTAGATTACAGCATCCAACATGTGTTAAGCAAATAAGACAGTAGGAGTATATGTTTAACATGTGTGGTATCTATAATGTGAGCTTAATACTACAAAAGGCAATATTTTCCTCTCCTGCAAAACAGGGATAATAAAAATACTTATTAGTTGTAAGACTTAAAGCACTTAGAGTAGGATATTATTATTATTGCTATTATTATTGATGATGATGATGATGATGATGATGATTTTCATTACCTTAGTGGTTAAGAGCACACACACTTTGGAGTCAAGCAGACTTGAGTTTGGATCCCAGCTCCATCACTTATTTAGCTGTATGTGACTCTATGTAATTACTTAACTCCTCTGAGAATGTTTTCATATCTGCAATATGGGGTTACTGGTCTATATCTCATTCAGAAGTAAAGATAATGTAAGTAAAGCATTTGACCCAATGTCTAGTGCTAGTAAGCATGTCATAAATGGTATTTACTATCATGGTGTGTAACATATAGACTTATGACAACTGTATTT